AATTTTTAATTTTTTTATTTAAAAATATTAATTTTTAATTTTTTTATTTAAAAATATCAATTTTAAATTTTTTTCATTTAAAAATTAATTAAATGATAATATTAATATGACAAACGGATTTTAAACTAGAATATTGAAAGTTTATATTTTTAAATAAAAAAATTAAAAGTTGATATTTTTAAATAAAAAAATTAAAAATTAATAGTCTTATTTAAAAATTAATAAAATTAATATTCTTAAATAAAAAAATAAAATTCACATCTTTATTTACACCTTTTTTCTTTAAACATGAGTCCATGTAACTTGTATTGGAAAAAAAAAGGTTAAACTCCCATTTTGATCCCTCAACTATTGTATGGACCTTTGACTTAGTCCCTCAACTCAAAAAATCCCCGATTTGATCCTTACTGTTTATCATTTTAAAACCAATTTGATCCTTCTGTTAAATTTTTGCTGAGATGACCTGTTAACTGACGGAATGAAAATTACGTGTCCAAATATTTTACACATAAGATTGAAAAATAAGGATAAATGAATGATGTGGCTAATATTTAAACCACATAATCAAACAAATATAATTATTTAATCCATTAAAGTTACAATTTTGCCTTCATCTTCTTCCTTAGCTTCCTCCTCCTCAAATCTTCTTTCATTCACTTTAAATCAAACAATCAATTTAATGAGATCAATTAATTCATCATCATCATCAAACAAAATTGCCTCATTTGAAGCTTGTTGGGTTTGAAAGAACCCAGTAGAGCTGCTAGGGGTTCGAAACCCAATGAATCTGCTGGGTATGGAACTTAGCAAATCTGTTGGGTTCGATTGAACCTAGCAGATTTGTTGGGTTTGAGAATGACTCAACATCTGATTGCTAGGTAAGATCGAGTTCGGTGTGGGTTTAGATAGAAGATTGGTGAAGCCGAGGGACAAAAGCTTCTAGACTATGGCTGAACCGACAAGGCCATGATGGCTGGCAACAAATACCTTAGCCGATTTGTTCCAGACATTTTCCTTTTCAATTTCTCTCTTTTGCTGGGTTAAAAAGAAACCAGCAGAAAGAACAAAGGAATCCACCTCAAGATCGATCAACAAATACCCGAATTCTAATAAACACACATAATCACATATCCCCAACAAACTCGCACTAGAACCAACAAATTCCTCGCAGATCCGTACCAACACCCAGAAATTACCACCAAAACAACAAGAATCAACAAACCCACGAACGTTTACCACCCAATACAAAAAAAGAATAGTACTTCTTGTTCAGACAAGGGCTTGCATTGCATGAGCTAATCAATTTGCTCATCCAAGTTCCTATGAGAATTCAACGGCACCAAATCCAAACTCATCTTTTTGTCTCCCTTTCTCAACCCTTTCCTCTGGTTCTTGCCAGATCAAAACCCCAAATTTCGTCATTACAAAACCCTAGATTTTGAAGAAAACTTGTATAACCAAAGAAATGAAACCCTAAATTCCCAAGATTTCTAGAGAGAGAAAAATGGTAATGAAGAGCCCAATGCCTTTCTCTTCTAGTTCCAATCAATTGCTCAATCCTTTTTAACAAAAAATAAAAAAAGGAAAATCGAACCTAGCAGATCTAGAAGAGAAAGGGGTGAGGAAAATCAAGGGGAAGAACATGAATTGATTTGACGAGGAAACTCGAAGGTGGTTTTAGGTGTTAGGGTTTATAGTAGCAAAAGAAAGGAAGATGAAAGAGAAAGAAAATAGGAAAGAGGAAAAAAAAAAAGGAAGGAAAAAAAAAAGAATCTCTTAATGTTATTTTATTGCCATGTCATTCATTTACCTTATTGTCAATTTTATGTGTCAAATATTTGGACATGTCATTTTCATTCTGTCAGTTAACAGGCCACCTCAGCAAAAATTTAACGGAATGACGAACTCGAAGTTAAAATGATAAATAATAAGGACCAAATCAGAGATTTTTTGACTTGAGGGACCAAGTCAATGATCCATACAATAGTTGAGGAACCAAAATAAGAGTTTAACTAAAAAGATTATTTTCTCATGGAAGGGGAGTCTCTTGCTATGATCAAGAGAGAATTAGGAAGGGAAATATGTAGTTGAAGGAGAAAAGAGTACATATTGGATAACGAGAAGAAGA